CAAATCAACTTTACCCACAAAATCTTTGTTTTCTAAAATTTCAGATTTTTCTGACTCTAAATCAATTTTATATTAGAATTCGGTCTGATTCTTACAAAGTCTCAATATTTGGTTCTTGTATAACGAGATAGTTTGTGAATCCAATCTATCCTAAGAGACAATTACTCTTAATATTGGGGTACTAAAAGAAGTAAAATTGTCTAAAGGAGAAGATGTCTTCCAATTGGGTCTGACTCTTTCTTTTGACTACAATTCTATTTTCCGTCTTTAATATTTTACTTCCTTGACTGTCTAAATGCCTCGACGTGTCATTCTAATGATATCAACTGAAAACAACTTTCACGAGTGGCTGGTATGTTTTTAGGATGGGCTGCAAATTACACTGAGGCAACAAAGGGTTTGTTTAAAGTTAATATCGGTTCTGCCTTCTGCGGAAATCTGCAACAATGCAGCCTTTGGTGTGGTCATTTGGGAAAACAGTTGCAATTATGGCTAAATTTTCCCATCATATTTAAACGTCCAGGTGGCTAAAGCAATGGCTATAAGGGTTGGTTTGGTCAGTTTAGTTAGAACTCTACTTATAGCAATGATGATGGTCATTCACCCAATTCGACTCTGAACCTGGTTTACCAGGTGTGACTGGTCTGCTTGTTAATAAATCTGAAATTTTTACCTTATTCAAGACAGCTAAGCTTCGGGTCCGGGAGCAAGCATCTAAATTTGCTTACATTCTTAGAACGGCAAATCAGGCAGCTTAGGTACTCAACTTGTACTTAATAATTTTAATTTCGAGGTTTGAATTGGAAACAAAGCTTTGTAGTTACCTAATGTAATAAGGAGTGAATTCATTAATCTGTGTGATTACTGAATAAAAGTTTTTGTTGCTTGGTTAAAAGGAGGGGGAAAGGCTATAGGGTTTTGCCTCAGTGACTTTCCTTTTAGTCGCCTGAGTGATGACATCACTCAGAGGCATTCTGATAGGCTTCTGCCATCAATCGAGAAGCCGCTTGAGTGATGGCTTTTGTCATCACTCGTGCAAAGAGTACTCTTAAACAATGTTCTCGACGGAGACTATATCAGACAAAATTCAACAAGAAACACATAAATCTTACCTCTAAAGAATGCAGACAGATCGGTTACCCTGTTCAAAGCAAAATCAACCGCCAACCTCATGTTTTAACAGAAATCTGAGGATAAAATGACAATAGGAAAGTAAGACGCGGATGTTCGAAAGAAAACCTTTGGCAAACGCCAAATTCAGAATGAGGATCATTATCCGGTGAACCAAGAACCAAAATTGAGGAAGAACATAAATAAGAAGCTTAAATTACTTGCAGCTGATACGGATAGAAAGAGAGAAACGGTTAAGGTCGATGAAACTCGCCCTAGGGTTGCCTGCAGCTATCGACCATTAAGGAAGCAAAATCAGCCACCATCCTCTCGTTTTGGCAGAAATCTGAGGATAAAATGAAAAGACTAAAGTAAGAACTAAGATGCGAGTGATTTGAAAAGAACCTTTGGCCAACGCCAAATTCAGAATGAAGAACATTATCCAGTGAACCAAGAACCAAAATGAAGTGCAAGAAAATGAGGAAGAAGATGAAGAAAAACTTGTCATGCTTGCAGCTGATACCCGAGAGAGACAGCGCGCGCGGGTAAACGTAAAGAAGATGAAATTCACCCTAGGGTTACGTGCAGCTACCAACCATTAAGAAGAAGGCTTTGAACTTTAAAAGACTAAAATATCCTTAATCTACATTTTAGTTTTACTAATTAAATGGCTGCGACCAATTTTAGGAAAGAAAAACAAGTTAAGCTTTCGTGTAAATAGCCTTTAGCAAAATGGAATTATAAAAATAGGAGAAAAGGAATATATAATATTTTATATAGTATTTGATTTAAAATTTTATAAAATTAACATAAATTGCAAACTTTTTACGATTACTTGATACCAGTGATAACTCGAACGAAAAAAAAACAAAAAAAAAACAAAAAAAAACAAAAAAACTTGATACCAGTGATAATATTTTTAAAAAATAAAAAATAGTAACATATTTTTTTCCTGAGAAAAATAGTTATTCTTTTATAAATATATATTTATTTTATGTCATTTAGTATAATTTTAATTTTTGATAAAGTTTAAGAAGCTGCATGCTATAAATAAATATAAAGATAAAATTTAACAATCTAATTTTAAAATTTTACTTTTACCTAACTTTTAATATAATTTTGCGAAACATGATGCAGACTGTAGACTGTAGATATAATTTTTGTTTTTCTTTTGAAAATTGAATATTATGGGTTGGAAATTTCACCCTTCAATTTTTTTATCAGTAATATATTCATTAATCGGGATTCTGCTTGATAGATACTCATAGCTTAATAGTTATAAAGTGGTATTATAACACCAAAGCTATATAATTTTATTGATGGACTTAATTTTACTTTCTAAACTTGTTATATACATGTACTAAAAAAACAAAACTTGTAATATTATAATATTTAAATACAGAAATTTAGGTAAGTTAGATGAAAATCATTAGATCGTAAATAAATTTTTCATTAAACTAAACTAAGAAGCGGTTTTTCCCTCTCTATATTTTTTTTCCTATTAAATTACAAAATATATCCCTAAACTTTTATCTTTGTATAAAAAATATTTCTATCCTTTCAAAAGTTTCAATACTACCCCCGGTCTTTCATAAACGTTTCAAAATATCCTTTAAACAAACATCCGTTAATATTTTGAATGAAAATAGTTAACGTGGAAGAATCTAAAACGACGCGAATCTTAACGTGGGAGCTTGCCTAGCTTAAGTATGAAAATAGATGAAATGTGAGAGAAACTATGTAAAAGGCGATTAGGGCAAAGATTGGGTAGACAATGAAATAGCAAACTCTCCCGACAATGGGACCGAGTAATAAGACTTTTAGAGCAATTTTTTTTAGTACAACAAATTGGGGGTATGGAGTTTGAACTCTGACCTCGAGGGAAGGGTAACTGTCAATCACCGTTGAACTATACTTATGTTAGTAAATTGGGATGTTTATTATCACATTAATCGTCACATCGTTATAGATTATGCCAAGTCAACTTTCTATTAAAAATATTAATGGATGTTTGTTCAAAATGTATTTTTCAAATGTTTATGTAAGCTAAGATAAAGAGTAATATTGAAATTTTTGAAACAAATAAGAGAATTTTTTTAACTAATAGTAAAGCTAAGGGGTAACTAATAAGGGGTATTTGTATGTAATTTGTATGTAATTTAATATTTTTTTTCTTTATTATTTTTGTTATTATTATTATTATTTTGCTCCACCATCCCGATTAAGTTTTACTAAATACATATTGAATATTTTTTTAAATTGATATTCATTTTTTAAATTTATTATCCACCGTATATTCAAAAACATATATTCAAAAACACTAAAAATTAAAAACAATCTTTTTCAATAAAGTTTTCATAATGTCAATTAAACGCACCCTAAACTTTCTAACACCAAAACTATAGAAATACAAGCTTGTTGAAGAGGTTGTGAGTTTGAATCCCCTCCCCAACGGGTACTCAAAAAAAATTATTAATATCTGGCCCAAAATACCCCCAATTACCCAAATGAAAAAAACAAAAAAGATTACGTTAAACCCCACAGCCATATGACCAGGGGCATAGACCATGTGCTCGCTTAGGTTCAATAAAGGAGACAGGACCACTCATTGGGCTCCCAATTCTCTCAATTTCAATGTTTCCTTTCCTGAGAAGGAAATATATATATATATCATGATTTTAAATATTCGTCAAGACGTCGACATTTCCATCGACATATCCATGTTTTCATGGGTTCGACATCGACATTTCCATCATACTAAAAGAAAATCTACAAAATATGAAAAATATCAACAAAATGTCACTAATATATACATAATATTAAGATTAATTATTTTTGACTAATTTAGAAATAGGAAAATGTTTATTTGTTCATTTAAATATTTTTTACAATTTTTTTTATTTAACTTCTACAGAAATATCCATCTATATCAACATTTTATCGATATTTCCATAAAATTGAGACATCAACATTTTCATCGACATCGATACTTAAAACCTTGATATATATTCATCAATACATCGAAACTTCATGTCTCTATCCATCCTGGGTATAACTTAACTCGACCAAAAATGACTTACACACAATACTATCTCTCTCTTCCCAAAAGCTTCACGGGGACTATTTTTATGATGGAAGACCACCACTCACAAGAGTTTACTGCATATGGCTCCGTAGAGTAAAAACTTGATCCCAACAAATAGAAGATGATCAGTTACGTGCAATATAGGGATTGACATACTTTTGAGAAGAATATAGAATAGTAAATATAAGATCCAGCATTCAGAACACGACGATCATTTAGAAATTCACAAATTAGAGATGTATTATATTCTTTCCCATTACTTTTCATACCATACCCAACCTGTTTTCAGCTAAGAGGTTGAAGATTTAAATCTCCTCCGAACTCTGTGTTATTAAACTCAAAATAAGATGATAACAATATTAATAACTATTCTATATGAATCATTAAAAAAAATTGGCTTAATTCTATAAGTTGTAATTAATTATTTTATTGGATAAAAATTAATCAATTAAAAACATGATAATTAAAAGTTCAATTTATCTTATAACTCTCATGGTTTTTTTTATACGTCCTTGGTCACTGTTCTATTGACCATCTAAGTTTATAACATATAAGTTTATGATAATACCTTTCAATTAGTTTTCAATTACATGTACGTTTTTTTTCCCTATCATATTGAATATTTCAATATTGGATTATATTATTTCTTAATTTTTTTAGAGACTAAGTTGTCCGAAAACAGAAAAAAAAAAGTTTACACAAAGCATTAGCAAAAAAATAATATATACTAGCTAGGGAAGTCTTTGTAATTATTCTTAACAATAAACTCAATATTTTGATTGATATAAATAAGAGAATTAGGGTTTTAGAGAGGAAAATAAGCACTTGTGGGAAAAGCACTTGTGGAGTTGAAAGAAAAAGAAGTGCAATTTGAGAGACAATCAAGAGAGCCAAGTTTGTAGCTTAAGTCTTCCATTGCTTTGACCTGTTCCCTAAGGAACTTGAGGTAACTTGCAGCCTCATCAAGCATGGAGGCAGTGTCCATCTTGCTCCCACCCGGAACCAACCTCTGCAAAACCCTAATTTTCTCGCTTATTTTCTCCCTCCGTTTTCTCGCCGCCACGGTCTGCGGCTCCTTCGACGTTTTCACGTTCCTCCTCCTCTTCTTCTCCACTGTCTCCAACCCTAAGTTCACCGGTCTGAATGCTGCTGCATGATACATCATTGCCTTCATCCGTGCCATGCCTGCCTCTCGACCAGCTGGCTCGACGTCGTTGTTGTTCGAAGAAGACGGGGATGGAGATGAATTTGATGGCTGTTGGAAGCCATTGTAATTGGCTGAGCTTGGTTGTTTCTCTGAGATGGGATTTTGTTGTTTTGGTTTTGGGTTCTCAAAAATGTCCCAAGATCCACTCTCTGGTGCAGTTCTTCCTACATATCAATACCTTTGTAAGTTATTCCATATATGGTAACATAAGTCTAATACTACGTCGATTAGAGTAACAAATTTATGTTTTCAATAAATATCTATTATCTTTTCTGTTTAATAAAATAAAGATAATATCCACGTAAAAAAAAAGTATTATGAAATGATAAGATAGGAAATATTTTTATAAGATAGTTTTCTCTTTTTTTTTTCTTTAGTACATATATAATATAAGATGGTTAAAAATAAGTACGAAGATATATCTATATTTTAATTCTTATAATAGGTTACMTCTCATATACTTTTATAAATAYAACGATCGTTAAACATTTTTATTAAAAAAAATATCTCATAACAAATAACTTTTTATATTTAAATATTTGAGAAGTAYGAAGGTTTAGAACCACCGAGGTGTCAAATAATTGGTATACATGAAATTGTTTTTTTTAGTCCAGAAAAGTAGTACATATTAAGGTGGAAAGAAATTCGAACCTGTGATATTTTAGTCGAAGATTATGTCGTAARTAATTGAGTTTAACTCAAGTTGCCTAKCATTGCATTGTCTAAACCATCRGCATGAATATTGAAAAATCCATTACTACAATATTTTTAATGCTGATCTATATTATTATTAAAAAAGATTCTTTTAATTGAAGTGTCCCTATATGTTTTCTTCTTAATTAAATCAAGATGTCCAAACCCAAAAGACGTTGAAAAAATGGATAAGAAGAATTAAATGTGAACGAGTTCAACAAATTCTAACCTTTGTCATTTTCAAGCTCTTCCAACAAAAGTCCACCGGAGCTAGCTCCGGCCGGCCAGGAATTTCCCCGGTCACATAAAAGCTTGAGATCCACCACTCCGGCTGGTTTCCGAAGCGCCATCGAACCCATGTCCGATGCCGAAGTATTAATCTCCGGCAACCCCAATATTTCTGCAACTGTTTGAAGCTCCTTTAATGGCGGACTCGAACAACAACTCGGGTCCGAGATGAATAAGTTTTCTTCACAACCGYCATCGTCTCCTCCGCCGCTCCATGAGCCATTCCAAAGCAAATCATCCATGGTTTTCAGCTTCTTCTTCTGAGTTTGGGAAGTTGAAGTTTGAAGAGAAGCTAAATGGAGAGAATAGTTTTTTCTTTGTCACTTTGGTGGGGGTGGAAGAACTTATATATATGAAAATGGGGAGTATTTCTCATCCTACATTAATTATGATAATGATGAATTGTCATTTCGTTTTCTTTCCTCCAAAAATTATTCAATATACGATGTGACAGACTATTTATTTGGACCAAGCAATACTAAGTCTTACCAAATCAGCATCAACCTCACTTCTACCAAATTTGGAATGGAATATTTATTTATTAACGGTTTGTAGGTTAACGCGCGCGCTTTTAGTTTTTTGTTTCTCTATTTTTAATAAAGAAAAATAGAATCGCATGACCTAACACCATAAATTCATAAATTCAAACACCATAAATTCATAAATTCAAAGATGATCAAATAATATTTATATTTATATATTATAACAAATTGGAAACATAAAACTTGTTTGGATTGTTTCAAAATTTTCCATACAATTTTGATAATGTTTTTAAAAAATAAAAATCAATAAACATAATTAGTGTCGTAAAATACTTAAGTTTCTTAAAATTTCTTAATAAAATTTAAAAATGACAATATTGTCAAATGGGCTCTAAAAATATTTTATAAATAAAAAAAATTATTATTTTTATTTTCATAAGAAGTTGTCAAATTTTTAGTGGCAATCAATTGAAAGATGGATGTTGATATATCGATAAATACTAATTTAAGTATTATTTTTGTTTGATAATCCGAGTAATTTCATGATTCCCTCTCAACATCAATRAGTAAGGATGTCTATACTTATATAGATGGTCCTACTTATTGATGTCACATTGATATTACATATAAAAATATTTTTATAATATACGCGTATTTGTCAACTACTTTAATATTGAGTAAAATGTTAAATATGTATGATATTGAGGAAGAACTCTCAATATATATTTTATAAGTTCAAACACTAATGTTGTCTCCCAAATTTTATACTTGCTTCACTTTAATCTCTCTAAATTTTAAAAAATCTTTAGTTTTAGTTCCTAAATTATATGCATTAAAAATTAAAAATTAAAAAACTCAAAGTGAGCATAGYTCCACGGTAATTGACATGAAGGTGTGAGTTCGATCCCCAWCCCACGTGTTGTACTTAAAAAACAAAAATAATAAAAGATTAAAAAAACTATTTTTGTTAGTTTTTGATTAAGCTATTTATTTTTTTGGAACTTATGAGAATTATTGTATGTATATAGCTTCCACACCTACATGTCGGGGTAGATATTGCCCATGAGATAAATGAACAAACTATGAACATTCATCAAGTTCCTCCTAAATGATTTACCAAAATAATTAACGGTAGTGATTAAAACAATAATATCAATTTATCTATACTTAAAATAATTAAGTGYGGTGATCAAAATAATATTATCAATTTATCTATACTATTAAAGTACGAGACTTAGAATCAAATAATAATATTATCTATATACCAAGTACTAGAATAAAATCAAATGTTCAAAAATTTATAAACTAAAATAAATATATATTTCTACCTATAACAAGAAAGTAGTTTAAGAAAAACACACAAAATGGTTTCAACATTTAGGACTTGAGCTGAAATAAACACAAAGTTGAAAAATAAAACTTAAATTTTGAGTTTTTTAATTATTATTAAAAAATATACTTATATAAATAACATAAAATAAATCTGTATTTCTAAATTTTATAAAAATAGCATCATTCAAATTAGACTCAAATCTAATATATATAAAATATATTTATGTTATCTTTTTCTTCTCCTTCTTTATCTTTTGGCTATGTCAACCTTTTTTTTTTTTCAAATATATCATTCATAATCAATTCAATCATCACATCACAACAAAAGAACAAAAGAAGGAAAAAAAAACCAAAAAAAGAAACCTAAAAAATCAACTATATGAGACTAAGACATCGCATGATTGACCGAGTCGGTGCTTAATTTGACTGCGTCAAAACATTTTATTAGCTGATTTAAATTATTTCTTTAGTATGATAGTATTTTAAAGTCAACTTTTACTTAATAGTCTGATGATTTAGAACCTTCAAATTTAAATTCAATCACTCAATTAAATATAAGCTGTCGAAGAAAAACATATCTAAAATGTGCATGTCGGAATTTAAGATTAACAACTGTTTGAAAAAATAAAAAATAGCAGTAATATTTTTAAATAATTAACTTTTAAAAATTATTATAGCAATCCGCGTAATTTGCAAAAATGATCGATCTTTAACGGAATAATTTGTAATTCTAATAAACCGAATTGGTTTAAGTTAAATTATAGATTTAATTTTTTTTTTTTTGGCATTTTAGTCGATCTTATTAACTAGAATGAAAGCTTTGAAGAAGATAATGTGAAAATAAAATATTTTACCCACAATGAAATATATACAATGTGTTTCTTAATTAAATAATTACACCACGTAGAATACCCTGCTAATAACAACTTACGCTTGTTAACAAAATTAATCATAACAGGTGTAACAAGATTTAACAGCTTAATATTCAACTCAATCTAAAACTAATTGGAAAAAAAATAAAATTTGATACATCTTAATAGATCTCGTAATTAAAATAATAATAGTAATAATAATATAGAACTTTAGAGTTACAATTATATTTAATTAGTGTTATTAATATTGTTTATATGTTTGTCACATTATGGTTTTTTCTTTTTTCTTTTTTTTTAAATAATTGTATCAGTCCATTTTAGCGATATGAAATAGACAAATGACATGTGTCATGTTAATATTTTATAATAAAATTATCAGAAAAAACTAAACATTAATTAATTTATTTTTTTCTTCATAAATTATTTTTTTTATTTTTGTTACGAATGATTTAACTCAAGGTTTATACGGTGTGAGTTTGTAAAGTGTTGAGGATGGTTTTTGCCTATAAGGATAGCTTAGGTGGCTTGGAGTCTCAATAAATGTCCTTGAAGTCTTTGGTTCAAGTCACATAAATCGCAACTCCACCCTTGTCGATTCGATCGGATGGAATAATAATTACAAGAGTAGAAATTTTAATTTTAATTTTAGAGATAGATTTTGTACTGATTAAATTAATAATGAACTAAAAATATATAGAGTATAATTTGCATAAATAATCGGTGAAAAACCTGTGAATAGAGAGATAAAGGGGTGCCCTATGAGAAGACAAAGGGGGCCCTATTAGATAATATACAGTGAATCTGTACACCCAACTTTAAACTTCTCTAGGACTTTGTATCCCAAAGAAACAAGCCAAAAAAATCAACGTTGCCCCTTGGATCCTTGCCTTTTTCTTTTTCCAAGGGTTTTTTTTTTCTTTTTTCCAGCACGATAAAATGTTCTCGAGAGTTTGATCATTGTTGTTTATTTGTTTTAAACCTCATTATATTGTATATCAGAGCCAATCCATTAGTTCATACTATTTCATCGATATTCTCTATATTTCTTTAATGTTATTTTATATGAGTGGATTATTGATTAGATAAAATATTTCCCAGAATCTAATCACAATTATATGTCTCTTATAAATCTTATCATATATCATATATAAAATTCAGAAAACAAGTGTGAACTAATCTATCAATGACTTTTTCACTTCCAAAAGATTGTTTTTCGTTAAAAAATAATAATAAAATTATACATAATACACTTCAAAAACGTAATCATATACGAATTACATTTATATTTGTAATAATATTCTTCTACGTATACCATAAACTAAAATTCTACTCATACTAAAATTTTTCTTGTTAGACRTAGTTTGAAACGTAAAAAATTAAGAAATGGACAAAGTACCCTCTTAAATTGAAGGGGGAAATCACCCAAAAAAAATCAGATCACATTTTAGTTCAACAAATATAATGAATATATTTTTCTCTAATTTTATTTAGGATATCATTAAAATAAATGGTAAATKTTTTTATCTTTGAATTATACATTAAGTCAAAAGAGTTTTTTTTAGTTCAATTATGTGAGTGTGAGAATTTAAGGGTTGGTTCGGTAATGTTTCCATTTTTTTTTTATTGTTTTTAGTTTTACAGAGAAATTTAAGCATTTAACAATTTTTTATGTTTATTGTCTCTCATATTTTTAGAAACATTCTTAAAATTGTACAGAAAATTTGAAAAAAAAATTATTGTTTCTTGTTTCTAATAAAATCAAATTTTCTTTTTTTCAATAAAAAAAATGAAGAACAAGAAATGTAATTATGTTTTTTTAATTAAAAATAGGGAAAAAAAAAAGAAACTAAACTTCACCGAGCCTAAACAATTTTTATAGTAATTATATGGTATCTAATTATCAGTAATTGAATGATAAAAAGTATAATTTTATAAAAATATTTATTTGATTTAATTGAATGGATAATTTTGTTAAAGAAAATGGAGATAGGAAGAAAATTAGGGAGTTGGGCACCTGCACAAGTTCCAACTCAATCGAATGTTTGGCTCACACGTGAACACGACGATTGTAATCCAATGTGGCCTCCTATGATTGGTGCAAGGCCCTATCCGGTGACGTTTAGCCACGTGGTACACACGGTCCTCAATGGAATTTAAATTTGATATGCTTATCAATTTGCAGAGTTTACCACTTTATAAGCTATATAAATTAAAAAAATTTAATTTATGTATTGTCCTGCACACTAATTCTTTTAATATACGGTTTTATAAATTAAATATACATTTTAAAAAAAAAAATTTGATTTAGGTAATCGAGATAGTTCAGAAATTTTTAACGTGGATGATAACATTACTCCATTACAATTTTGCCATAAATTGATATTTCTTTTCCGTATCAATGTCGTRTTGTTGGAGTCGTTCTTGAATGCGGGGAGGGAAAAAACCTGACTAMACACCTCGCAGGACTCAAATAAGGGAGGAGAGTATTTCGATTCGACTACTAACTCACTACACCACCACCCGCCAATGGTCAACTTTGATACATTTTAGTCTATATAATTTTAAAATGGTTGATTTGGTCCATATACCTTTCAAAAAAGTGACCA